ACTGAAATGAGTGGAAATTTTAATCAGCAAAACACTCTCACAGCATTCAATTGAGTGCCTATTACAAGAATAGGTAAATATCATTTTAAAGGAATGTAAAGCAAATATGAATAGAAATGACATACTACCTCAATTTTTAGGATATTGATTCACTTGTTATAGAAATCGGTATTTTAAAAGTACCAAATACAAGGCAAGGATGTATTTAAGACAAATTTTTAATTTTTTTCTTTTTTAAGCAGACAAGGATTTGTCAGCAGTTTTAATGCAGCACTCCTTAGAGCAGTCTTAATGTAGCACTCCTTGTAGCTCAACTATCAAGACTCACAGTAACTACAGATTTCTTGTTTAAAAGTATGACTCAAAATAATGGATGAAAAAATGGTAAGGAGTAGAAAGGGACCTTCCCATTGAAGGACAAACTTTGAAAAACTAGATATCTTAATTACGTTGTATTTTAATTACATTTAAATATACATAGACAGTTTCTGAGAGCATTTGCCAGTATATTAAACACTGCAACAGATTGCCTGGCGCAGCTCTCAGAGATGCCTCTGCTTTTCTTTAAAAAGCAAGAGCATGGAATTTGTTAGTAGGAAAAAATAGATATTACATTATCAGATATAGGAAATTGTACTGCACCTTCTCTCTCAAAGTTAAAAAATGTTGATTAAATGCTACTCATAGTTGACAAAAGTTGTAAAGAATTAGTCAAAAATATTAGTTCTACTCAGCTTTCATAACTACAAACAACTAAGAATGCAAACAAGAGTTGGAACATAACATTAAGTAATACTATTAAGGGAAAAGTTTCATTTGAGTTAGAAAAGGGAGATTAAGATCATTCTGTCATCCCCTCCAAAAATTGCAAAATCCATTTTATGAACTCACACAAAAGTACAAAATGCAATGTAAGTAGCCCAACGAGACAAAAATAAACACTTGTCTGAAAATTAAGAGTTCTCATCTAATGAGTTCCTATACATTTATTCAAAAGTGAATGACAAGACAAAGAAAACAAGACTTCAAAGTATTCTTAAAGTGCAGGTGTTAAAATCTCTCCAGCTGAGAGCAGAACAGAATTCATGTCTCTGCTAGGACTAATGTCAGGCTCATTTGCTCATGTTTGGGGAACAAACAGTTATTTCAAAAAGAAAACAACATGCACAGGCACACACACACACAGTCAACTACTATTGTCCTCAAGAATGTCATGCTCACTCTTATGAAAGCAACCTGTCCAAATGAAACTTTCCAATCAAAGTCTGTCCCAACATTGTTCAATATTTATCTATATAGAGACACACTCAAATGTAGTGAAAGCATTGGTCACGGTGAGATCAAGCACATTTTCTATACTTGCACCTTGCTTTCCTAGAGAAAATTCTGTAGTGGAATGTACTTCATTCTGCCATGATACCCTGTTCGGGGAAGAAGCATAACCCAAGAAAGCTTTTAGTAGATACTTTCTGCTCCAAATTACAGGTAATCACACTGATTCATTTAAGGAAAGGCTTTGACCTATTATTACCCATCTCTCAGAAATACACCTATTATCCATGTAGTAAGCCTAAGGAAAACATTCATATAATATTAAGCAATTGAATAACGGTAAGAGGTGATGGACGCTCTAAAATTAACCCTCTTCTGCTCTTACATATTTCTTATGATTTTAACATCCTTGTAATCACATGATAACGTTTGAAGCAATATGAAGCAAATGGGGATATTTTAACATGAATTTTGTGATATTTTGCCAATTGGTATATCAAAAAATATTCATTATCAAAACTGGCAAAAGGCTGTCTTAAGCCACTGGTGTTTATGATGAATGTAATCAAATGTGTTGATGCTCATCCTGGTGTATTTACAGGATTCTTAGACACAAGACTGCAGCAGACCTCCACCTATCCTAGAAAACAAAACAGACTTGTTTTGATTCAAGGTGAATACTTCCTTTTGCCTGGAGTCTTCTGGGTCCATCTGTATAGCTGCTTAGAACTTGGACATTTTCCCAAAATTGCAGTATTCATTTAAAACCAGAATGCTATTCTCAAATATCTAAAAAGGCAACATATCTAAATTTTTACTTTATCTATAATAGACATGGAAAAGTTTTTCATGCACATGTATAAAAGTGTGTCTACACATTCATTTTTTAATTATGCAGTATAGAAGTTGAGAACATTGATATTCTGGATGACATTTATCTCTTCTTTTAGTCCAGGAAATATTTTAGAATTTGAAATGAACATTATAAGATGAATTTAATCTAATCTAAGAACGTACAGCTAAATGAATTAAATAGTTATTAAAGAATTAGCAATTCAGTGGCAAAGTGTTGACGTCTCAACCCACACAAAAGAGAATCTGTACAGTTATAACATGAAGTTAGCAGTTTTTTTAATAAAAATAAGATTGGGAAAGAACTGGAGATTTGGGAAGAGGGTACAAAGTAGGAAGTTCAAATACATATATGATGTTTTTATTCTCTCTTGTTCTTCTCATTATCTACCAGCCAGTAAGAGAAAAGTAAGCAGAACTTCGTGTCTCTGCAAATGCAGGTATACAGTCTGTGACTTGGTCCTGGAAACTTTTCAAAAAGATGTTCAGTCCAGGTTTACAGTAAAAAACAAAACAAAACAAAAAACCAGAATTATAACTAATTTAAACCCGAAGGCTGATTTCACTCTATGAACTCAGTTAGAAATGATGACTACCAAAACTGGATATACAGGGCTTAGCCTGGGAAGACACAACATCCTTTAACATGCTGGGGCCCCAAGCTCTGAACTGTGTTCTTTATGCAACCAAACTAACATAATTGCCAGCAAGAGTAACGGGCAACATCCTAAAGGGGAGACTCCAGCTCACTAACCAAATTCAAAATGCTATCACCAAATTGCACTTTACCAATTATGTGTCATTGGGTATGTATAAATTCAATTTGCTACTTATCCTCCTTGCAAATTCCTGACTAGCTGGTTATAGGAAATTACTTATTAGGCCAACTGTTTTCTGGGAAGAAGCATTTGGTAAGTGTGATGAACTCTAAACTGTTAGTATAAGCTCTATGTCATAATGCTTGCTTCTAATACAGAAATTCAACTCTAATTTCCAAGACCAATACACAAGACAACCAAGGAACCTGTCTAAATATCCTGGTAGTTAATGCTAATTCTGAGACAAAGCAAAGGAGAATGTCATAGATTGTTTTGAAGAGTTTCACAGGCTTTGCCTTCGTAATTAATAAGCTGACACAGCATACTAAACACTTATCAACACAATCAATGGGGCTGCTTCCTTCTTGGGAAAATAGCTAAAACGATTCATGGAGTTTTCCTTCAGAATTGTCTGTAATACACCAATATGTCACAAATATCGTGAATCTTCGGGAGAATTTCATCCCCAGCAGTTTCATCTGGGTAACATTTAGCAATTTCACTATTTTAACATTTTGAAATGCCAAAAAGAACACACTGATCCTGCAGCTAGGCTTATTAGAGAGGAGCAGTCTCACAGGCAAGACAGAAAGGAACACAGTCCTCTGGGAGATGGGTAACAGAAAAAAAGCAGCGAACACTAGAGAGTGAACAAAGCTGAGTCCTGCTCCACTGTGGGGTCTGATTTTCACCAGAATTTAAAACTTTACACACACAATTAAGTAACATCACCTATGGCTTAATTAAGGTTCTAGTAACAGCATCCCTTTCCAAACACAGTCACTGATGTCATTCATATTTGGGAGCAGAAATATCAGGTTTGTGTGGTTAACAAGGAACAGGCAAGCATAGTAATTTGGAAAGGTCAGAAGTGAGCGTTCTCACCATGTGGCATTACTGCACCCTCATGTAGGATCAGGAACACAATGAGATCTCCCCCCGTTAGACACTTGATACATACATACCTCAGCCACGGTGTTCCTTGCTTGGAATGGGAGACGTCTTTTGAAGCAATAAAAGAGACTGTTCACAGTAAGTTCTCCTAATAACCTAAAATGATTAGTTTTTAAAAACCACATCAGCCTCAAGCCCGTTTCCCAGCTATAGAAGCTGCTAGTGTGCCTACAAACAAGTGCCTGCAGTATGTGCTGCTTAACATTCTGGAAGGGCATGGATTCTGTTCCTGGGTGGATGTAACCAGAAAATTATTTCTCTCAGTTAAGAAACTATCCATGGCCTTTCGTTTTGATAAAATTGCTAGTAGCTGAGTTGGAGAAGGAGGGGGATGGGAGGGGGGAGATAGAGAAAAATCAATCTGTAGATTTATCTCCCTTTCAAATCCTCAAAGGCTGGGACTGAAAAGCAACACTTTAAATCAGACAGTCCTGTGGGAACCTCGAAGGCTGGCTGCTCCTACTTTGTCAGTTTTCTGTCGGGAGTGACCCCACAGATAATCAGTGCCCACTGAGTTTCCTCTGAGCATGCGCATTTCCCCATTGTTCAAAGGAATTAACTTGGTAATGAAAATGAGAAGTTATGGGACCCAGAGAGATATCTTTCAACACCTTTAAAAACCAGTAAAACTGCTCTAATTTCTCAGTGGATTAAATGCCCAAGGAAGCTTAATATGCCAAGAAATAAACAAAGGCAAGAACAGCTAATAGCTCCTATTTGGAAGAAAATTAAAAAGATGGGAAACAGAATGCTTCATAAATAGGTTACTATATTTTTCTCATCTCTCTAAAACCGTTGAGAGACAAACCATGTACTACCATTAGAAACATGCATGTTGCTTTATACTTTGAACTGACCAGTTTTTCATGTCTGTCACACACACATTTGCATTCAGGAGATGCTCCATTTACGACTTGTAAGCCTTACCAAGAAATGCCGTTTTTAAATAAAGCATCAACTTTGTTCACCCAACGCCAGCTCTTAGTTACATGATTCCTATAACATTCAATTACTATGCATACTGGTTTTTCCATAATAAGAAATGGCTACTGTAGCCATCGTTCTGTATCAGAGAAGTTTGTTATTTGACATAGGTTTCTTTACCTGGCATTAAATCTTTTGGTTGAGTCGCTTTCCAGATTTTGATGCAGAGACATGTATTCCTCTGGAAGACTTAGTTTCTGATACGGTTGAAAGACATCAAGCATCAAGTCAAGCGCCTGTTTTTCCAAACATGCACAATTACACATTTTCTACAAACAGACATCAAGTGTATACAGAGCTAGGTGCACATTCAGTAGATTATAAATGGTAGAAACCTCCAGAAGTAGCTCAGACTACAGTTAGCAAGCTGGGACTATACAGCTAAGTAAACACCACCAACGCACGATTTGCTCTCCTGGAACACGAACTCCGCGCTTAGGACACCTGGGGACCACTGGCCAGTACCGAGGGGGGCGGGAGGCGGAAAAGCTATTCCCAAACGCCACTGTGCCAGGTCTTACCCTTCGCATCCCCCGGTCCACGGGCCAGAAGCTCCCTCGGCACCTGTCGCCCAGCCAAGGGGCTGGCTTTCTGCTACAAGGAAATTTGCCCCCCGACTCTATGAGAGCTCTGCAGACAGTCCAGGCTCCCGCCTGAGCCAGGAGAAGGCTCTGGCGCCAGGGGAGCCCGAAGGAGGCGGAGGCGGAAAAGAAGTAGAGAAGGTAGAGGCAGAGAGCGAGCCGGGGAGGCGGCGCGGGGCGCGGCAGGGCGGGGTAGAGCGGGGCGTGCCTGCAGCGATCGGTCAGTAAGTCAGTCGGTCTGCGCGCCCGCGTCCCCGGCCTCAGCACCCGTGCGCCACAGCCCCCGGGACGATGGCCCCTGAACTCTGGCAGGCCTGGGTCGTTCCCTGGCTCTCCCTGGCGTCCCGTTGACCGCGCTGGCCGGCGTGGGGCCGCCCGCCTGGGCCAGCCCGAGCGCCTGTCGCCGCGCCCTGCTCACGGTCCCTGCCTCTCCCTCTGCTTGCGCGCTGTCTCTGGCTCGCTCTCGCTCCAGTCCCATTTATGAAGCGTGGTCCCATCACGTGTTAATGAGCCTTTGTCCTGCCCTGGCAGCGGCGGCAGCAGAGACTCCGCCAAGGGATCTGAGCGGGAGGGACCGGCACGCGGCGCCAGCGGCTCCAAACTTTGCTGCGCGGTCCCCGCAGCGGCGCTAGCCCGGGGTCTAGAGAGGGCCGGCCCTCGGCGCACTGCGCCCACTGTGTCATCCTCATTCTCCGCCACCGCCGCATCCCGGGGACCCTGCGGCCTGACCCTGCTCTGCTCCCAGGCGCCCTCCCACCCTGGCGGGGCCAAAAGGGGACTAGTGCCTCACTGCCCGCGACCTCGGGGCCGTTAATCACGCGCACTGCTCAGCGCCAGCACCTCGCCCGCACCGGGCGACCCGGACCGGGAACCAAGGCAGCAGACACGCAGTCCGGGTGCGGTCTCCACCCGACCCTCCCCTACGCGCCGCCCCAGCTCCCTCAGCTACCTGGCCGCCGCCACTAGTCCTCCGCCCTCGGGGCGCACGACGTCGCCCGGGCGCCTCCAGCGCTAGCCCGGGCGACCACTTGGGCGCGCCCAGCCTCCAGAGGTGGCCGTACACGCTCGGCACCGTGGGCGGCCGGCGCCCCCCTCCCCAGCTCTGGTGCTCCTCGCACCTCCTGTTCGCGGGGAGACGCCGCCACGGCGGGCGGGGGCTCTGCTGGGGCGGGTGCCTGGGGACCGGTGGTGCGCCCGGCCGCCGCCGCAGGAATTAGGGGACATGCTCGTTAATTGGTTCCACTATCCGCCGCCGTCTGCCTCCTGTGCGCACGGATCAAACCTTAATTGGTCTTTACATTTATCACGGCGAATTGCAACCCTATACACGAGCATCAGCCCGCAGCTTCAGCCGAGAGGGCCATTCTCCGCCAGGTCCCCGGGGCCCAGCCGATTGTGGCTGCGTCTGAATTGCGTTTTATACCTCTTTTTCTCCCGAGATTTGGGTCCACTCGACCCCTCAAGGTTTCCACCTGATGGAGCCATATCATGTCAGCTCCAGGGTCCCCGCTACGAGCACAACGTTTAGTTCCAGGCAGACGAGGTAGTTGCCTGGCATTCATCTTAAGAATCCTTGCTCAGATTCGAGGACATCTAACCCCAACAGCATTCTACAAGGCCTCCTATTTTTTTTAACCAGTTTTCCCTGACGTCCTACCCCAGCTCAGAGCCAAAAGCAATCATAATGTGTCTTGGTCTCTGTTTTGAATCTGGTGACAAAGATCCCAGAGGGCGAGCCTCGAGGATGAAGGAACATTGAAGCTGCAGAATCTAGGGAGGAGAGCCTGAAATCTTCCATCCTACAGGTTTAGTTGAAGAAAGACTTCCTGCAGAGCGCCAGCTGTCTGAATATCCCTGAGACAGCTTTCCACTAGAGAGAGTAGTTTCCATTTCCATGTCAGGAGATCGCCTTTTGAGATGGAGTCCACAGCTGAAGCAATCAAGTTGTAGGTAAATATAAACAAAGACCTGACAGACCAGTCTGCAGTGGGAGAAATGATTACGAGAGATGGTGGGTGGATGTGGGCTATCGGCTGCCTAGGCACAGGTTCTTCCTCAAACCCATCTCTGGCATGAGGAACGCTCGTGGAGCTTAGAGAGGGAGACTTCTTCTGCCCTTTTCTTTCAGAGGTTAGGGTTGTTATTATTTCGCCCTCACTTCAGATTCCTAGCAGAAGCAAACATTTGCACAAATGTTCCTTTCTTGGGACCTCCAGGCCTCTGGATAAGTTTCAACACTACCTGCCAGCACTAGTTCAAATGATGGTCAGTGATAAAGCAGTTCTTACTCTCGGTGTGGTCAAGTTGGGGAGCTGGGCTCCTTGGTGATTTCAGACAACATGCTTTCATGTGGGTATCGGTGTTGCACACTTGGGTGGCTCAGCACTGTTGTTCCGAATCATCCAGGTACCCAACACAGACACACCCTGGTGGTATACAGAAGACCCCCTTGCCGGTCAGTATCAAATCTGGAAGAAATCGTTTACAACCAGTGGGAGGTACTCTATGGAGGTCTGTCAACATCAGCTTCTTTCCTCCTAAGACAGAGCTCTCTAATTCCTTATGAGGGTGCTGAAGTTTATTCGTGTCTCAGAATCTTCCCAAATCTCTTTGATTAATGGTGTACTTTTTTACCGAATCCTGTGAGGCATGAACAACAAAAAAAATCCATAATATGAATGACTAGTTTGTTAATTGATTGAAGGGATCTGTGGACTGAAAATATCAGTATTAATCTAATCAGGGAGAGATTCCAGCAGCTATTACTGTTCAGCTAGTTATTCTGTTGTTCAGAACTGGGCCTGGAGTCGGACAGCTGGAAAATAGTTACCAATTTTATTCAGAGTTCAAAGATAACACTCAAGACTGGAGTCAAACTTTGACTTGTGACCTGGTATTTTATCACCACAAAGGAATGCATTGTTAAAACCAAGAGAATTATGTTGTATGCAAAGTGCCCCTCTTGTGGTATATATGCATATATGTTTTTCAAGTTATGTCTGTCCCAAGCTCATCCGCCAGGCAAGGAGCTAATGTCCCTTTCTTTCTGAGCTGCTGAGCTAGAAGAGATGTGGGCAGTTGGCAGTAAGACAACAGGCATGGTCTGATACCTTGGGCTTCACTTTGCAAAGATCACTTTATATGGGAGGAAAGGATTTATATCCTCCATGTGGCTGAGTGCCTCCTATGCTCCTAAAGGGGACACCAAGGTAGCAAAGGCAAGCTATCAGTATCCCTGCTAAGGATGCTGTGTGGAAGACACATGTAAACATATTACAAAATGTGAATGCTTCTAGATCACTACAAGCCAAGGTTGAATTAGAACCCATGACCTTCTGAGGAAAGACCTGTCAGCGCCTGAGCCAGGCCTCACTAGTTCCTTCAGGCTTTCTGCTTTTTCAGATCTTTATTCTTTTAAAATTATAACAGGACTATGATGAGCCAATTTGCTGCTGTGCCATGTAATTTGGGTTATTCATTCAGTGGGACATAGAAGATGAGAACACAGTCAAAGTGGCATATTTCAACTTCAAAGAAAGATCTAAATTTCAGACAGTCAATATGCTCCTAGTTACACTAGACACAGAACATTAAAGCATTAAGGAAGCAACGGCTTCTCTCTGAGACGGCCGTTGATCCCAAAGACGCTGCATATTAAGGCTTCCCTTTTAACTTGTCCTGGTTCATCAGTCCCTCCCACTCCCAGACTGATACTCCCAGAGTGACAGACATCGGTTCACTTATTCACCACTCCTTAGAATTTGGAGACTGGGGTTCAAGTTTGGCCCCCAAGTAAATTTGGTGTGTGCAGGGTGAAGTGTATTCCTCAGGGCTAGAATGCCAGATGAGTAAAGATATTTGGGGAATGATCTGGCTACATGATTCCATTCTAATTTGGAGAGTTGATTTGGAATTTCAACAGCTGCTCCTGTCTCTCCTCAGAAATGTGAAAGCACTTTTAATTGCAGTGGTTCTGCCTTGCTTGGAGGCCTGCAGACAGACCTGCAGCCCAGGCTCTAGCAATTGTTAGTGTAAAATGCAACTTGTGAAATGTTCCACTAGTGATGCCGCCACAGCCTAAAGAACCACCCACATCACTTCTGCATGCATCTTAGAACCACAAGCTGCTTTAGAAACAGGAGTCTCTTTGTCATTTCCCCATCAGAAAGTCAGCTTCCTGAAACTGGCTTCAAGTGGAGAAGCTAGTCGCCAGGGTAAGAAATGAAGGAAAGAGGAAGGAAGGATGGGGACTCCTTTAACCTCAGGGATACTCTATTGTATTCGATACAAAGAGGATAACTGTGGCTTCTTGGTGATCTTTCCCTACAACTAAACAGATGTTCCTTACGGCTTTTTTCTTCTCTTCTCTTCTCACCTTCTTTCATTAACTTGCCAGATGAGCAGTGGCAAGGAAAGCCCAGAAATGACAAGAAGGCATTTTTCTTTTGTTAATATGCTGTGTTGTGTTTTGTTTTGTCACCAAGCTGAGGATCAGTAATGAGGAGATGGAGCATCCTTACATTCAAACCGTGTGAGAAACATGCTCTAACAGAACAAGCAGGCAGATATTGTAAAACTATAGCAACGAGGAACAAGGTGGATACTGTTTTCATTCCCCTTGATGAAACTCATACAACCAATCATTGAAGTTCTATAATTAAAAAGGCTAAAAACATGTCTAAATATTTCATTACTTTTAAAAATGAAATAAGCAGTTGTATAATAATGTCAAAACAGCAAACAATAGAAAGCTAGTAATAGAGACAGGCATTTTTTTAGTCATCCACAGTCCTCCTTGAATAGATTGCCTTCCTGGCTGTCTTGGTTACTTTTCTATTGTTATGATAGGACACCATGACCAAGGCAACCTTGTCAAGAAGGAAGAGTTTATTTGGGCCTACAGTTTCAGAGTCATGACAGTCATGCAGGAGGCAGTCAGGCATAGCACTGAGCAGTGACTGAGAACTCACATCTTGAAACACAACCTTGAGGCAGAAGGAGAGATAGTGGGACTTCAAAGCCTTTGAAACTTCAAAGCCTGCTGCCAGTAACACACCTCCTCCAACAAGGCTACAGCTCCTAACCCTTCCCAAATGGTTCTACCAAATGGAGACCTCAAACATAGGAGTTTATGGAGACTGTTCTCATTCAAACCACAACACCTGTGTTCTTTATAGTTTTTGTTTTGTTTTTACAACTTCCAGTAGGAACTTAGGAAAGAAAAGGAAATGACTGCCTTTCTTGAGCAAAAGAAAGTAACTGTAATAATGGTTCTAAACTCCCGACCTGGCACCAGGAACTCTCAGTAAATAATAGAAGCGTTCATTTCTCCGACACCTTCTGCTATGTTTCTGTTGCATTGGCATTAAGTATGTGGAGGGGATCACAACACATGGCTTTGAAAGCTTT